CCCCCCACCCCCTAAAATCTAAACACCACTGCTACTGAAACTTCAGCGTTTAGCTTATATATATATATATATATATATATTGTCAACGAAATAACACTAATTTATGAGTTTGATCACTAGCACGAGCTGAAATCAGTTTAGGGAAACCATGAATATTAGGGATTACTGGACAGCTGCCTCGTCCACTTTTGGGAATCTTCATCACTACGCGCCCCACCAGGATTAAAACACAGGACTTTCCGTCTACAAATGGGACTCCTGAGTTCCAAATCAGTTCTGTGCATACTGATGAGGAGTCCCAAACGAGGACAAAACAACTTTTCATTATTCCCTGGTTTTCAATGGTGCCCCAACTCATGATCAAACTTGTAACTAATCAAATCCCTGCAACACTAATACTTAAAAATGATAATTTACAAACTTATCTTTTATTTCAGCCGGTTGAATTAGAACATATTTAACCTATAGGACTATAGGATCTAACGCAAGCTACTGTGTTTATCTGCATGACTGACCGAGTCTTCAACATGGAACTATGCACAGAAGTGTAACAGTTTAAGTTGCTACTCTCATTATACAGTACACAAAAGTAGGATTATAATGAGAAGAAATGTACATGAGAAAGAATAACAGCAGATCTGATCTGTGCCATTCCGAGTCGATAGTCGAATCATCTCACCGGTAGTCTCAAGTCACTGGTTCTTAGTGTCCTGATGACTCCGACCAAGTAGTATATACACCCACCTACCCACCCACACCTACATGATTTAAACCAACTGTCAGACATCATGGATTCATGTCATGTTTGGATAAAATCAGGCTTAACTCTTTTCACACCGAATACTATATCGTCAGCTAACATTGCTCGAGGCAAAAGGCGATGACATGATGTGAGTAACAAGGGTCTCAGCCATCTCATCGATTCACTTTCACTCCTTACCTAATACTCTATCCCTAGCCCTAATATCTGCAATAAATGATCGTAGATGATCACATTTGGGGTCTACACTGTCTGTATCACTTTAAATCCACTTAAAAGCACACACTTCATGCACTTATTCCCTTGATGGATTTGAATAAAGTTAAAACCACAGCGGTTTGTGCAGAATAATATGGTATCATCATTGTTTATTCGTTTGGCTTCTCATTCGCTGCTTACTTACAGCTAAAAAATCATGAGGTTTAAGTACAGAAAATTTTTAGCATACTTGCAAATTTTACATGTTGTCAGTTGACAGAAAGTTCCACAATTTGTGAATAGTGCTCAGAAAACTGTGCTCATATAGTTTTTATACAGACAGTTCAAGCTGCGACAAAATAAATGTATGCATATAATGGTAAAGGAGTTGCGTAATAAAGATGAAATGTGCCTTAGATGCGTAGTGAATAATAAGTTAGGTAACAATGTACTGAGTTCAACTCAAATCATAGAGACAAGAGACAAGCAAAATTACAGATTATAAAAGGTGGTGAGGGTTAAAGACAAAGATTACGTAGTCAGATGAGAGAAAAAAAGACATCCAGTTATCAAGGCAAGGAAAGACTAATAACTGCTTCTTTCTGCACACATAAATCTGGTTTGAAGCGTTTGATAGAAATTGCTTCGGCAAACTTGAAGAGAGTGGATCTCCTTTGTCTATTGATAATTTTAAAGGATTTCTCGATTTCCACCTCATGACTCGTGTCGAAGAGATGTCTGGTAATAGCGCTACTATAAGAGTTTGTTCCCTTGAGAAGTAAGCTTTTCGGCACATGTTACCATTGTATGCATACATTTATTTTGTTGCAACTTGAACTACCTGTGTAAAAACTATATGAGCGCAGTTTTCTGAGGACTATTCACAAATTGTGGAACTTTCTGTCAACTGACAACATGTAAAATTTGCAAGTATGTTAAAACTTTTCTGTACTTAAACCTCATAATTTTTTTAGGCTGTAAGCAAGCAACGGATGATAAGCCAAGGAAATAAACAATGATGGTACCATATTATTCTGTACAAACTACTGTTGTTCTTGCTTTATTTAAAAGCACAAACTCTATTCATTATTCATAAAACTGTTTAATTTTCGCAAAAATTCAAAGGCAAGCTTTAAAAGTAATAATTTTTCCAGGAATGTATTGTATATATAAGGATTAAAAAATTCTTGTTAAACATTAACTCACTTTTCTGCATGTTAGATCTACGACCAGCATCTTCAAATTCACTTCTATGAATAATACGTTTCGGTTCTGAAATTATTTTTAAGAAACATAAAGGTGAAATGATTAAACATTAGGATAAATACAACAGGGAAACAACTGCCAATTGTAAAACCCGCTAAAGAACCATCTGAAAAAAATTGAATGGAAAACCTGAGATGATGACATTACTCGCAGAAGAAATCATAATTTTTTTTAAAGTAGCAATTTATTTAGTGATGACTTCCCCAGTGAATATTTATTTACATATATTAACTAATTGTCAAGAAATACATTTCTTCGCTTAATTTATTGCTTTTCCTAAATGTTTATTTGGTAATTTTCAAATTACTAAGCGAAATTTTGTCCCAGAGACTAGTCAGAAGTATACAGAGAACATTTTACACAGCAAACTTGTATTTGTCATTATGTAGCCGGAGAATGATTGGGACACCAATGCGTGTATTTATCAATTCAACTGCTTCTTCCTGCGGAGACAGTTATATCGGGCATACTACTAGACAGACAGCTTAGCCACCGTGTTCCTGAACGTCTCCCATAGTTTTCGCAAAGGACAGGCAAAAACCATCAGAAGCTCTGTTTTGTCACATTTAGTAAAAAAGACGGAAGCATTCAAAGTGGTTTATCACAGAACCCACCGAATATTTCCAGAGGACCCAGTATTCTTCTACTACATATAGGTGAAGCGATAGACATTCGAATCTGTTAGGCCTAAAGTATGCATTCAAAAGAACAGCTACAGCTATTGTCCCCCTTCGGGCAATTAACACCTAACCAATCGATGATGCCACCACCCTTATTCATAATTTTAATTCATTTCTTATTATCCCTTAATCTTATCATATTTCATTCATCTAAGATTTGTTTTTCTTAGCCTTTATCGACTACATCTGCCTGAGCATTTATTTGTTTAATCATACTGTTTTTTTTTTTTTTTTTTTTCATCATAAATTGCTCTACCTCTCCATTTCTATTACCAATAGAATTATTATTATTACTAGATGTACATTGTATAAGTAATATCTTATCATAGTATACAGCCTGGATTCAGGAGAAACAAGTCATGTATTGATCAAATCGCCACACTACGGATCATCACTGAACAAAGCTTCGAATGGCAGTCACCTCTCTACCTCACTCAACTTCATCGACTTTGAAAAGGCCTTCGACAGCATCGATCGAGAGGTGATTTGGCAACTACTTCGCTACTACGGGGTGCCACCGACAATTATACATCTCATCCAACAGTTGTACGACAATGCTGCATGCCAAGTAATCCACAACGGGAAACTTACGGAATCCTTTGAAGTAAAGAATGGAGTAAGACAAGGCTGTCTACTATCGCCTATGATTTTCCTGATTGCAGTAGATTTGATAATGCGACAGACATCGGGCAGCGATGAAACAGGAATAAAATGGACCCACACAAAATACTTGAAGGGTCTGGACTTCACCGATGATGCATGTCTGATTTCCCACAAACTGGAAGATATACAAGTGAAAAGCAACAAACTGGCAGAAGAAGCATCAAAGATAGGACTTCACTTCAGGTGAACATAGATAAAACAGAGGTGATGAAGATTCCTGGTCAACACCAACAGCAGACAACAATCAGCATAAATATGATACACCTGAAAGAAACAACCTCCTTTACCTATTTGGGAAGCATCGTTTCAACTACAGGAGGAACTGACGAGGATATCAAAGCAACAATCGGAAAAGCAAGACAAGCTTTCATTTCTCTCAAGTCTGTGTGGAGGTCAACAGCACTCAGCATAAAAAATAGCATCCGGATTTTAAATTTCAATGTGAAGCCAGTCAGTGCTACTATACAGATCAGAGACTTGGCCTACGCGTCATAAAGAGCACCTCAAACAAACTACAGACCTTCATCAGCAGCTGCCTTCGCTCAATACTCAAGATCAGATAGCCAGCCAGAAAAGATCAGCAATAGGGATCTCTGGCAATGAGCGAACCAACCAGGAACCGACTGTACCGCAAATAGGTAGGAAGAAACGGAGATTGATTGGCCATACTCTGAAGAAACCATCAAGTGACGTCACTAGACAAGCCATTGCTCGAGTGGAACCCGAAAATGAAGTTGTGAGTTGGTCGTCAGTGTGTGGGTGACTTGGAGGAGGCGATGTGAAGAGGAGATGAAAGAATGTGGGCAGACTTGGAGCCAGGTGAAAACTCCAGAAGAGAACCGAACGCAATGGAGACGTGTGGCTGAAGCCCTATGTTCCTCTAGGTATTAAAGGATATAATAATATCATAGTTATAACAAATCACCATGGCTGGTTTATATTTAATAATTTTAATTGCAAAATTATGCATGTTGGAGTAAAGCTTGATGATATCTAAGTGAAAACAGTACTGTTCGCCTACATGTGTAGTTCTAAATTGTATTGTGAGAATATATGAATATTTGGGAACCGACTATTCATAAAACTTTTAGAAACACTATGTAGCATGTGCATGCTGGATTCCACTGCTAGTCACCATCTACCAATTAACATCTAATTACATTATGTAACGATTCACCTTCCTCAAAGCCTCAGGATGGTCTGGGGTGGGTGCCTTGCGCTGCGGGTTGGCCACCCCTCCGCACACCTCTTGAAATGCTCCCATATGACCGGGCGTCTTACATAGCCTCTTCTCAGGAAGTCCTACTCACTGCCTTCACGTGGCGGAGGTGTTTCTCACCTAAGTGAGAGGGCGAAAGCGGATACCCGGCGCTCTCCACCGGGTTGACTGTCCATTGATGGACGGTCTAGGGGAGATGGCTAAACCCTGATTCCAAACCTCCAACGACTGGCGTATGAAGCTCACTGGAGCTCACCGGCAGACGTATGGACTAAGGGCTTGTTGGATGTCCTGGATGTCTGGCCCCATTCAAAAAGGCGTATGAACCGAACTCCGGTCTTTTTTTTTTTTTTTTTTTTTTACTCCTTACTCCACTCCTACTGCCTTGTAGGTCACACTTGGCTGTGTAAAGGCTAGAGCTGCACTCTCAAACAAAAGGCCGAGCGATTCTGGGGACATCACTCGTACCAAATTCCCATGAAACTTCATGAACTCTCTTACAAATTGCCGCGCCTGGGCAGCGATGATTCGAGACGTTCATGAAGCCGGCTCATCCTCCCGTAGGAGATAGCCGAAGTAAAGTAAAGTAAGTAAGTACCTTCTTCAAGCTGTATATCTTTGAAATATTACTAGTAAAAAAAATATAAAAGTAGCCTGGTACATATATATATATATATATATATATATATATGGTGAGAGCTGGTTGCGAACAAGCCAAAATTGTAGACAACAATTTACGTCAGTATTACGTCCCGAGTCAAGGTCATAAAAAACAATAACAAAGCTTGGCCTTGAGGAACTCAACAACCAATCACAGAGGACTTAACGTGTCCACATAGGATTCGCAGATATATGGCTTAACTTTCTGGTAAACGGTCACAACCAATACAGAGTAACCTTCAACAAGAAAACAACCAATCAGAATACGTTGCTTCTCCGTTGACAATAATGTACATAAAAATCTATAAATATCTCTTGATTTTCTCAATAAACAATCTGTTGCCTAGCCTTCGTCTTCTGTCGTTACACATATATATTCCTCATTTTTTCTTATGTTAAGGATTCATCGAAAGATATACATAACGATGACACAAAGTGTTACAGATTCACATCAAAGCAACATGTTCTGACGTTTTAGATATCCCGCTAAGGGGTACCAGATACTATGAAACTTAGATTCTGTAGTTTCTACAGACTGACTCTGACGTATACTGAAATCTACAAGATTTTCTCACTTCCAGGAGACTAACAACATTGGTTTTTAATCATGATGAACTAAATGAAATGCTATCAAGGTAAGTAGTAAAGGATAGCGCGCCTCAATGCACAACTCATAACAGCTATATACAATGAAATCAGACGTCGTGATATTAAATGAATTCTTTTAATACATGTTGAAGCGAAAAGTTAAAAATCCCACTAAAAAACGTTTGAAAACTTCGAAAAGTGACAGAGGACTGCTTTCAGTATAGTATACAAAAGAACCCAGTAATCAATAAACATGTAGATTTGAACCTTATATTTTGCCGAATCAAGCAAAAGTTCAAGAAATAAGCTGTCGACTTAAAAATTGGTTTTGAAGCAACAAAGTCTTATCCAAAGAATATACATTTTCAAAAGAATAAAAAACACCTCCGAAATATAATAACGATCTCAATGCCACTACTTCAGTTGAAAAGTAGAAGAGAATCGAGACTATTCAAGAAGAATCAAAGGAAAACCAGTTTAGCAAATCTAATCCTAAAAAAATAAGCCGAGTAACTGATTTTCAATACAGAACTTTGCATAGAAGTGGAGCAGTCCAAGTTTTCACACCGTGTAGCCCATAGAGGTACAGAAAAAGATATTCAAAAGAACCAACAACAGCAGAATTGTGCTGGAGAAAGAATAATTACAAGCGAAAACATGAGGGTTTAATTAAAGGAATAGCTCACAAAGAATGTGTAAATTTGCACCACTGACAAGGATTTTGGGCTACATCACCAAATGTCTCCAGTTATTGGTTCTTAACATCCTAAGGACCCCAACCAGACTGTCTACACCTCTTTTTTTTTCAAACTAACCGTCAAAAACTTGATGGACTGGATGTTGTGTTTTTGGTTTAACCACCCCTAGCTCTTCTCCAACCTAGCTCTATTCCAGTTAACATTTCTCAGCGAAGTATAAACTCCAAAGTTAGAACAAATAGAAACTTAAACAAAGGGGGAAAAACTTCGACGTCAATTGACCAAAATTATCCCTAAAGTAAAACCTAAAAACATTTCAATAATGCAAACTGAGGTGTCGGCGACCATACCACGTTGAAAGCACCGGTTCTCGTCCGATTACCGAAGTTAAGCAACGTTGGGTGCTTGCATGGATGACCGGTTGGGAATACCGGGTGTTGCCGGCTTTTTTTAGTGCGTCAGTGGCACAACGGTAGAGTGCACTGCGACGACGTATGTGGTTCAGAGTTCGATCCGCCGCTGACGCACTCTTTTACCTCGCTAAACCGGGAATAAAGCTGGTAAGGAGGAAAGGTTGGGTATGAGGCTAGCAACCCCATCCTGTAACAACTAAAACTGCTACAGAAAATAGAAGCCTCTAGCTTGAAGCTCTATGTTCCACTGGGAACGTGAAGGAGTTAAAAAAACTGAGAAGGAAAAGATGGGAACCAATACAATGACCGAAGAACGTGAAATCCTGATATACATAACTGTGGTGAGAGCCGTCTGCTAGCCGAAATTGTAGACAATAATTGACGTCAATGTTTACGTCCCGAATCGGGGTCATAAGAAAAAACAATAATAAAGCCTCATCTTGAGGAACTCAACAACCAATGACAGAGGACTTAACGTGTGCAAATACGATTCGCAGATGTAGCATCTGACCTTCTAAGAAACACCCAAAAAGAGATGATACAGAATAACCTTTAGTAAGTAAGCCACCAATCAGAAGACGTCGCTTCTGTGCAAATAATAACGAATAATCATATACATAAAAATCTATAAATATGTGTTAATTTTCTCAATAAACGATCTGTTGCCTAGCCCTTTTCTTCTGTCGTTACATATGGACTATACTATCAAGGAAAATCTAATTAGACAGAATATTCTGTACTTCACAGTTAGTTAGTCAACACTAAGCTACTCCCGGAAACAGATTGTTCATTTAACAGACTGTGAACTGCAATTAATGTATAAGATGGAGTGAGATACAAACCCCGTAACACAATGACTTGAAAGTCGAGTGACTACACCAATCAAACACATTCTACAACTGACACGAAGTTTCCTAAGAATATATTCATGAAGTAGGGCTGAAGATGACGCCTAGGCTGAAGTGGAAGGTTAACAATAAAATTCCAGTCTCAAGAGGCAATAAAACTACCAACAAAAAAACTATAGTTCTTCCATATTACTCTTCTTTCTGTCTCATATATCTCTGTTTTGAATCTCTTTCCACTCTCTTCTCTTGCTTTATGTGCTATGCGAAGTGTAGCAACTCGAACTGCTGGCACATCGGTGCAAAGTTCTACGCTGAAACCAGTCAGTCAGACCACAGGATAAATTTGTATAATGCCAAAATATACATACCATGAAATAATGAATACTTTCTTAATGAATCAGGTGTATCACTAAGTTTATTACTATAAAATTCCATATTTTCAAATATACTTGGATCGATCATCATTTCTGGTTGTTGTTGCTGTTGTTGTTGATTATGACTTAAACGATTATAATGATGATAAAATGATGGCTCATCATGATTTGTTTTATGCAAAAATTTATTTGAAGTATGATGATGTTGATGATGATATGGCATAAAGGCAAGATCATTTCGATGCGACTGAAGATAATCGAACTGTGATGCTGCTGCCGCTGCTGCAGAGGAGGAGGATGGATCATATGATCTAGGCTTATATACCGCATCATCGTATAATTTCATACGTGAAGTAGTAAATATACGACTCTCGGGCTGACTAGGCGATGGTGGTGATGGTAAATGTCGTCTAGGTGAGTATTGTGATGGTGATGAATAGTCATCTCTGTGTGTTAAAGGGATGTCATGAAATAGTGCTTTAGGATAATGCCATGGATTATCATTTGTTGAAAAGTATATTTCTGGATTGTTTTCGTTGTTATTATTACTATTATCATTATTTTTATTATGCACATCATACAGAAATGATGGTGACGATGAAGAGACTCTTTGATCAACATCAAATAATGGTTTTTGATTAAATTTAATCGGATTCGATCTTGACAACTGTTGTTCTCGATGACGATGTTGAGGCTGATGATTATCATTATTATTATTGTTGTTATTAGTATTAGTATTATGTGAATTTGGTTGATTAGGAAATAGAATTGATTCTGATGGATCAGATAAATCATTTAAATCAAGGTAAACAGGTGATGTTGTTGTTGTTGTTTTTGATGGTGCTGTCACTGTTGTACTACGACGTGATGATGTTGTACTTGGTAATTTTTGACTTAACGAATGAAATCTTTCAAATGGTAGTTGATAACTTTCATTTGGTTGAGATTTAGATAGTGTAATCTCGTCTAATTCACTTAGTTTATGATTATGAGACATTACGGGTGACACAGATGATGTTGATGAGAACGATGAAGATGCTTTTGTTTCATTTCTTTTATCCAGCCCTGTAATTGAATTAAAAGAAAAAAAGAATTGCATATATTTCTCTGTCTTTTATCTTGGAAAAATAGAATTGATTTGCCAGCTGGCATTGGAATGAAGAATTTTCTAAAAATGACAAATCTATGACCAACTCCCTCTCCTTTCCGATAATGAGTCACACGGAAAAATATAGAGTACTAGACAAGTGTTTTGGCTTAGTTTGGAACTCTTCCATCGTACACAACAATGGCTGCGACAAAGATTAAGCTCCGGGATTGTCAGATTAAGGCATAAGTAACTTAAAATTTAAACGCCAGAGTTTTGAAATCTAAACCTATATGATTTTCAACTTCTATCAACTCACGATGTAATGTGATTACCGTCAAATATTGCCAATGAGTATCCATCATTACAACTGGAAATCAATAAAATCCTTCAAAATTCAACACCTTAAATTAATTGGGTATGGGGACAATTGCGCACTGGTCACATTGGACGACAGTGACTCTATTATTATGAAGTGTCAGAAGTTGAAATTGTAAAACGTTGAATTGAGATCAGATAACGAAATCCTAACTTGCTTACCACCTCGCACCCGGTAACTTGATGGTTATTAAGTTCATCTCTACTGGGGTGGTGGGTGGGTACCTCTGAAGACTTCTGAAACAGTTGTCAAGTGTCCTATGGTTTTTCATGTATGTCTCACATTATGTCCGTTTTTAAAGGAATTAGTGTTGAAAGACGTTGTTGTAGAAGGCGTATGTTAAACATGCTTAATTAGTAACCCATCCAAATCAAGACTGAATCTCATAAATAATTAATTGAAAGTTTATACGATTATAGTTAACAAAATGATGTACTTATTATAACATTACAATAAAAAGAAGAACAGCTATTCAAAGAGTAAAAAATACTGTTTACCGTTTCAAGATGAGAAAATTGGTATTTATCATACATTCTTTTTTACCTGAATGTGACATTCAATTCAGTTAAGAAGTCATAATAATGTGAGACTGTAAAAAAGAGCACTGACAGAGTATGTTACATTTATCAAGACAATTAAGTGGAACCCACATAGCTGTATAAAGGTTTACGGAAAGTTGTCACTTGATATGATTGACATCCATCCAGTAAGGATATCCACTTTCACTACTTTCATATAACTTGATTGGGTGTATAACAACAGAAGTGGCTTTAAATAACTTATTGCTTAGAACCTGACTAACCGATTTTCTGTACATAAGTGACGGTGATAAACACAAAGATTTTTGGTTGGTGGATTTCATCATGAGCTGACATCAGTTCGAGAACCATTGAAAAACCAGCTGGGAGTACTGGACAGCCGTTTCGCCCTAGTTTGGGACTCTTCATCAGTACACACCTACCTGGGTTCTAACTCAGGTCATAAAAAGAACAGGACGAATCAGCTGTCCAGTACTCCCTGGTTGGTTTTCCAATGGTTTTCTAACTGATGTCAGCTTATGATGAAATCCTCCAACCAATCAAACAAAATCCCTAAACAACCAATACTTGACAAAGATTTTTCTTTGGTGGATGATAGCACTGAAGTGCTTGCATCATGTCCTGAATAAAGGTACCAATACTAACCGGCTAGTTACTGACGACATCTTAGCTAGGACACAGATCAACTGATAGTGACTGATCACAACTAGATATTCGTAGGCAATAAGATAACACAACGCTAATTCGTACTGGTTTTGTATATTTAAGGTTATAACTTCGACAATATGAATTACCTACAAACGTATAAACTTCGCCCTTATTATAATAAATCCTACTCATCTTTATCTCTTCTTGTCCTCACTATTTCTAAATATAACTAACATTATTGTTTCTTTTTTTATTCCTTTATATTCCGAGGGGAGCACAGAGCATCAAGCTTGAACTTTGAAATTTCAATAGCAATGATGTTCACCTTTTCACGGGATAACCTTTTCTCTTTACCGGGCTTACTAGTGGGTGGGGTTAAGGAATGCACCGGCCGGGGATCGAACCCCGGACCACATGCAGCATGGTTGGTGAGGTATTTCACCACTGAATCACTAACACACATTATTGTTTCTACAGTTATATTAACCATTCTAGTCGAAGAAAATGTTACATTTGGTCAGATATTTTAGGTTGCAAAATGACTAGAAGCTATTTTCTCAGTTGTAAATAAAATATTAGGCTGATATGGTATACAGAATGCAATTAATTGAATGATTCAGATTAGTATGAATATTTAAAATGCTATGTTGTCCAAGTAAGACTATGATTTATATAAAACGGTTAAAGACATTCTGTATTTAATCACAATACTTTATTAACAAAACTAAAAACATACTTGAAGGACATGACAATTCATCTGATCCATCTGGACATTCCACTATCCCATTACATTTGTCATAAATAGCTACACAAGCAGAGGAATCATCACATTGGAATTGAAGTTCCGGAGATTTACAAACAGACTGAACTGAAAAGGTTTTATTTTATAACTAGGAAAAAAAACTCTACTTACCACAACTGCCTTTCTTTGCAATCCAACCCGACTGACAAACACATACACCAACTGAGCATACGGTTTTAGCATCTTCACACAGATTATCTGAGTCACAGGGCTGATTTAAACCAACTTAATTAATAAACAATGATATGTTATAACAATAAGGAAATTACCCTTCTTCTTTAAACTCTGATTAACACTTGTTTCTTCGAGGTAGATGATATCATAATTGGAATGACTAGAATAAAAGCATTGGGCAGGCGGTCGGCAATCGAACAAAAAGCAGGATTGTGTAACCTAGTAATATACTTCATTTCTAAATGGTATCATAAACTCACCTTTGAATCGAAAATCGCTGTACTGCACTCATTTGTATTACAACATACGAAATAGCATTCTTTAAATGAGGAAACTCTTAATTTTTTGATAAATTTAGCGCCAGCGGAAATTGATTTCTGTGTTAAAATAACTCTGTTTGGCTTGAATTGAAAACTTTTGCCACAGCTGTTATTATCATCCACTGACAATATTAGTACTGGCCCAAAAGTAATAACAAGCTGGCATATTATAGTCAATAGAATTGAAACCCCCATATGAATACAGTTTAACAGTAAATCATTTGAGCTTAAGTGGTTCTACAACGACTGAATATGAACATAAGACTGCTAAAAAGAGAAATTTAGAAAATATCATTATTTAAAGAACTTTTATGTGACAACAAGACGGTCAAACTTGAAAGGCAAGTGGTAATTATTTTCAGGGCATTACTAAATCTGTATATGAAAGAAAATTTTTGCTTTGCTTGCATAAATCTCATAAATCATTCTCCCTTACGAACAACTTTCAATTCTGAATTTTTAAAACACCAGTTAATTGGGAATTTTAAGTGGTTGTAGACGGATCTGAAAATTTACAACGTAGCCAACGCTAACAGCACCCAAGTAGCACATAAGTACGCATTTAAATCGAGTTATTCAGATACTACTTTAAGTATGTTTAGTGTTTCGATGTGCACTTTGCTATAAACACCTAATATATCTCCGGTCTCATTAAGAAATAAATGCACTTTTTAAAAATCCTAATAGACAGTACTCGTTAGGTTTGTACGCCCAACCGACTCACTAAGGAGATAAAGTAGGACTTTACGCGAGTGTTCCTGTCAAAATGTCAGATTTCCAAGAAGAATCACCTGTTACACTTGTAACTGGATTAACAACACGAAAGCCACGAGTATAGAAAATGTTATTATCAATAAATCAAGAGTGAGAAATAATAAAACATGTGTACCGATTCCGAAACATATGTGAGTCACATGGCACGACTAAAGAAATTCTACCTGAAAAATTATTAGGGGAAGTAAACAACACAGTGCCTCTGTTTGCTACATCAAATAAAATTATTCTACTACAAAGTTCTATCACCTAAGTGTCCAAGTTGTTCTTGTGCAAATAATACCCATGCTCACGTAAATATTTATTAGACTAGTGTGCATTCGCAACAAGTTAACATCCGTCAAAAAATCACCGTCTAGACAGCTTGTTCCATTTATTAATGTGTGAAAAAATGTCCGACAAAATCTGTCCAAGTTCTCGCTGACAGATCTCATCCCAAAAAAAGGGATACAACATATACATATATGTATATACTCATTACTAGTATACTAGTAATGAGTATATACACTAGAGACACTCGCCAAATATATATATATAGCTTAATTTTGACCAATATCGCAACCAGCAGAAATACATTTGATTTACAGTGTGAGAAGATAAATAAAATTACATGACACAGAGCATTATCAGCCTAGGCAAACGACGCGTAAGTCAAGCTTACATATCCATTGAATAATTTAGGGCATTGCGCTAATTACGTTAACCTCAGCTATAGCCGACAGAACATTCCACTAGGAAGAAACGAAACAGAATAAGATAACTTAACACGATAGTACACAAAAGCACGCCTCACGATATGCACAGAGGTTCAAAATGTGTTGCATAGGACCGAAGTATGAATACACGTATGGCTGATCAGCTGAACTTCGGATTTAACCTGATTAATTACTCCCATAGAATTATCAATTGGCTGTTTATGAACAATCTAAGTTATTGCCACTGTAATAGACTTACGACTATGCAGTCTAATTTCCCAAGTGAACAATCTTAGGAAATATTCCGTAACGCTATTTTCATTTTGAGAGGTCATATATTGGACATCAGGATACAACCTCAACATGGTTTATTAGGATTGGGGAGGTGGGTGCAACTTAGTAAGTACAGCAGCGGCATTTAGAAACTTCCTCTACGTAAAATTAAACAACTGTAGGCCCATATTTTTTATATCCATGCTAACATCTGAAAGAACAGATGATAAGATAAAAGATTTGTGGCGGCAGGTAATTCCCCAGAATTATTAGCCACAACATTCATCACTGAACATCGGATGCTGGCCCTCTCTGTATAATTTGGTCTGCATAGCTGAAGACTCATGGACGAGTATCTACGCTATTTGGGATGCCGTCTTGTTACGTTCGTTCGTTCGTGCACGATCCCTAGCTAGTTAGGCAATCAACCTCTCACTAAGATTCGGTCCCGAAGTATATTTCGTAATTTGGACAATCAATTCCGATTTTTTTCTTCACCTTTGGTCCACGCAGAATGACTACTATAGGAGTTGTATGTATTAGATCTTGCGTTGGTATACATCTCGCTATCCTTGAACGTCGACACCCTGAGCCTCTAAAGATTCATTCTCTACTATACACAGTGACACCACTGATCCAGAAGGGGGTAAGCTTTCACAGTACACACATTCTATACTACTATGATTCAGGTGCATTTCTACAGATTTTTTGGAATCATCAGACGAAGGAGCCAACACAACTTCTCGAGATAGACAATTTAATAGTTTTTTATTTTTTTATTTTATTTTTGATTACAGCTTGATTCCACACTGTATTTTTGGTACAAGTATGGAATTTTCACCATGGATATCGGTAGCCCAAATTTTGCAAGCCGACCACAGATATCAGGTGTGCTTCGGCAGGGTATCGAACCTCGGACCATGTGGATGGTCGGCGAGAGTCCTAACCACTGTGCCACCAACGCACGAATTCCACAGATATATTATCCAGCCGGAACACCTCTCTATTGGTCAGCACGAAGATAAGATGAAAATCCGTCGAATAACAGAGGCACGTGCCGGCTTCCGAATATAATGTTATCTTAGCATGACAGACACCGGGTGTGAACGGCGGCAGTAGGTCATTTATAAGTACTAACAGTAGACGACTAAGGATGAATCTCAGAAGAACACCACTCATAGTCACCCAATATGTGGTGGCCTGCCTGAGTCACTGGACTACCGAATTTGCTGACCGTCAAAATTCCTCTTTTCATATAGATTTATTTCTGTTTCGATCGGTCAGTTATAGCAAGTGACCTACATAGGAACTTGCACCCCGATTTAATTTCCTTCAAAGTAAACTTGTGCAATTCCTCAACAAAATTAAGGTATACTACAGATTATTACTTTGCATAAAAATACCGTATGAAAAGAAGGTATTCGGGAGCTGAACGCGCTGAAAATGCTTGTAACATATGTTCACATATTGTCCGAAACATAGTTTTACTATTATTTCGATTAGGAAGTCGATATAAGAATAGATTAGCATAAACCAAATACGTATTTTCCGATTCTTTGTAACAAGTCCAATCGCATTCCTACCCGCTTAGGTTTGTGCACATCACGCCATGATTGAATATACATCGGGTCTTAGACAGATTAGTCTAGCGTATGTAGGCTGCACTCTCCCGCAGACTGGTTCAGAAATCCCACAGAAGTGACTAATTATTTTCACGATATCTGCCAGGTAAAAAGCAGTGACATAAAATGGAGATTTGTAGATCAGGTGGATGATTTTGATGTCACTGTGTTCTCTGAGCTTGGTGACTTAGTTGCGAAGCTTTCATTGTCTTGCCAGACAACACCATCAGCGTGCGCTTCAGTGTGAAGTAAGCTCCTAAATTTCTACATGAGCTTATCAGCCATCTCTCCTAGCAACCCCATCCTGTAAAATTAAAACTGCTACAGAAACTTCAAGCCTTTAGCTTGAATCCCTATATTCCAGTGGGAACGTGAGGGAAAAAACACCAATACCAGCGGTCTACACTAATTGGACAGCTCACTCACAGACAATACCTTCAGCACAACTATAAACCAACTCCACTCCACTCACTCATTCATTCATTTGTCCAGTCACCAATCTAACTGACTCGAGATTGAATCGCACCTGTTGCGTATCACACTGGCTCATCGGCTACTCTCGATTTCGCCTACCATATCTGCACCGAATGATGGCATGCATACAACATCGCTGATGCCACATCACCAACAGGATGCAATCTAATCCGACTGCCTGCACAAACAACACCATCTACACGCTGAGAGAGGATGCTGAGTGTGTGATTAGATGACCAGATGACAAAGCGACACTGTAGAGGCGTGATATGCATGAGAGACTGTCTACATTTGCAAGAATTGAACAGGTACGAAGGGTGGTTTGTCGAAGCAGACTATCAGGGTGTAGTACTGTGTGGTACTCGAGGAGTAATAGTGCAGGGGAATCGACTGCACACACCTGATATGGATAAGAGGAGAATATCGTCAACGTGTGTATAGCAGTGGATGTGTGCTTGTGTTTGAATGTGTGTGAATGAGAGACAGGCATGGTGAGTTCGATAGTGAGAGGAAGCGAGGGATTGTTGAGTGGAGTGAAAGGCAGTTCGTCAATTAGCGAGCTTCTAAATATCTGTGTGTGATGTGAAGTGGAGTAAGGTGTTGTTCTATCTGGTGAGTACATTTATCTGGTGGTAGTAGTTTGTATGTTGTAGTCATTATTCACAATGTTGAATTGGCCACGAGTGATGTTATTCGTCGTGATGACGATACTGATGAGTCTGGGTGTTTACGTGACGTAATTGTTGTGAATTGAGTGGATAGAGAATGCATTTTGACGGCGGTTTATGGATTGATGTGTAATGATGATTGGTGGTCGGTGGTGGAATGATTCGATGGGCTTGCATGATGTTGTCATAGAGAATGGGGATTTTTCAGGTTGAGTTTGTAGGTGATTGGGTGAATGAGTGCGTAAGTGAGTGATTTTGTGTTTATGCGTGTTAGCATTTGAACTGTAAGTAATAACGAGAGTCGATGATGAATGTGAAGTAATGTGGTAGCGATGTGATGATGTATAGTGTTGATTGTGGAGTGTTTGGGGTTGTGGTAGTGGTAGTTGTTGTGAAAAGGTTGTATTTTGAAAAGGAGGTGGTCCCACGAGCCGATCAGGCTGTCACATGGCCATCATCCACAGGCTCCATCTCGCTCCCGCACCATGCGGTACTTTTGCCTGCTGGGTTTCCCCCTGGGCCGATGAGTCCTTCCTTGATCAATCTGGACAACCCGTTCTCCAACAGGTCGTCCACATAGGCGCCGTGCTCAGCGTGGATGTCCGATCAACATGAGCACGCATCTACCAAAACTCCCAACAGACAAGAACCTCTCAATCACATATGGCATAATGAGGCAAAGCTGTTTC